ACTGCTCACTGCTCTCCACAGAAATGCTGCACGCGCTGCACGCCCGGCACGGGGAGGCCAGACAGGCCCAGAACGTTCTCCTCATCCTGGAACAAGTGCACTTCTTTAACAAAACCCAGGGAACAAAGGCGGGCCCTCGTTCTGCAGGAACACCCAGGGAATCCTGAGAGCCCAGGGGTGGCTGGGATTCAGCCGGGTGTGCTGGGGGAGCCCGGCCGTGGAGAACACCTGAGCTCTTCTGTTCCCCAGCAGCAGAGCCCGGGCACCGCTGCCATCGGCCCTGTCCTCGCACACGGAGCCGAGGGACAATCCTGAGGCTGGGAAATCCCCAGCTCCTCCCAGGGAGCAGCTGCAGCCCCTCCAAGGGACACAACAGCCATGGATCACACGTGTGGAGCCACCGAGCTCCCAGGGCCACCAGCCAATACTGCCAGGGCCACCACGGCTGGTCCCATGGCTGTCACTGGGAAAAAACTGAGGGAACTGGGATAAAACTGGGATATCTGGGATAAAACTGGGATAAAACTGGGATAAAACTGGGATAGGGGAACAGCAGCAGCCATGGAACACTGTGGGGCCATACATGAGGTGTTGGAGCTGACTCCCAGGACATGGACACAGCCACACACCTGGGCTGGGACACCTCAGCCAGGGCCTGCAGGTGGAAATCACTGCCACCACAACCTCCAGCTCCTGCAAGGAATTCAGCAATCTCCTGCTCTTCCCAAGTGTTTCTTGCTCATGGCTTACACCTGCAAAGGGGAATTTCTGCTGGGAATTCCTGCCTGGACTCTCCTCTCGCAGGGAGGGTGGCAGAAGCCCCCACCTGCACATGGCTGAGCCCTTGCTGAGATGCCACCGGGGCAGAACACCCACTTCCAGAGGTTTATTTCCTCCACAATTCCCTGGGAAGCAGTTCCCTTCCAGGAGAACCACGCAGACTTTGGCTGCAGGAGCTGGCACATGGAGTGGCTGGCGCTGGGTCCCAGCAGAGCTGGGAGAAGGGACGAGGCTGTGGGGCAGAACCTTGGCACGGGAATGGTGTCGCCCTGAAAACTCAGCTTCTGAGCTTGCTAACATAGTTTTCTAAGGACTTTCCCAGGACAGTAACTGCAAACATAGATATGTGAACATTCTTTCTGTTCCACGTCTTGTGATGGGCATCTCTCATGGCCAGTGCAGGGGGAAAGTGTTATCCTGACCATCCAATCCCTGGTCGTGGTCACAAGCCTATAAATCCTGGGAGGAAAAATAAACTCTGCTCTTTCTTTCACCACACCTCGACCTGTGTCCGTGTGATCTGTTCATCTTCAGTGGCACAGGAATGGTGCTGGCTGGAGCCAGGCTCAGGGACAGGCAGGATTGGATCCTGGCAGGATTGCAGTGCTTACTCAGGACTCGGGTCATGGAGGAGGTGGGGGAGCCCCAGTGGGCCCTGGCTGGGGATGGAGGCACAGCAACACTTCACAGTCAGAGTCCCAACTCCACCCAGGAATCTTCTTTGCCGGGAAATCCATCCCAGGGATCCCACAGGGTGCCATCTGGGTGAGGGTTGGTGATAATAATCCTTTAAAAGAGTGAGACAGCAGCAAATACAGGAAAAAATGGCATTTTTTCCACTGAGGAGACGTCAGGAATGTGTGAAGAGGGTGAGTGCTCCTTGCTGGGCTCTGGAGAGCCGCTCCCTCAGCAGGTTTCAATCCAGCAGGGACCAGAGCAATCCTGCAGTGCTGGCAGCGTGTGGAGAACCCACGAGAGCAGATGGAGAGCCATGCTCTGCTCCAGGAACACTGGGAACCCCATCCCAGGCCAGCCGGTCCCGCGCCGGGGGAGGTGGGACAGCAGCCGGGCAGGGCCTGGAGGACACCACGGCCACCGTGGCACCCTTGGGCCTGCCCTCCCTGCGGCACAGGGGGAGCTGGGGGCTCACAGCCCCACCCCTGGGGTGGCTGCTCTCTGGGATCCTCAGCCATGGAGCTGATGCACCACACGGGTTCCACCTCGTTGGAGCTCCACTTCTTCCCTCTGGGCTCATCCGGAGGGACTGACGGAGCAGATGCCCAAGAGCACAATTCCCAAATATTCCAGTGGCCTAAGCTAACTCTGCTGGTGCACAATCTCTCCAGCTGTGACTCAGGAATGTATTCCTTCAGGACACAGGGGAGAGCTGGTGACAGCAGCAGTGCCCACCCTGCTGTGCCAGGCTCAGGGACATCCCGGCACACAGGACACAGCCACCACGCCAGGGACAATCCCAGGGACCTCCTGCACTCCTCCCGTGGCTCCCACGGGCCGATTCTGCGAGCTCAACACCAATGGCCAGGAACTTGTGGGATTCTATTCAGCCCCCAGTGAGCCTTTTCCTGGTGGCTCCCACAAGGAAGTGCACAACAGCAGGGACAGGATTCCCGGGATCACACTGCCTGGGTCAGAGACAGCAAGAGCACTGGACACTCCTGAGCCCATGCCAGGACGAGAGGGAGGAAAGAGCATTCCCAGGACACTGCCATCATCCCGGATGAGGCTCAGCCAAGGCCTGGCCTGTACCCACTGATTTCCATGAGGATTACGCTCCTGAACTGCTGTGGCACATTTTCAAGAGGAAAAGCTATCCCAGGACACGGCTGGCCTTGATGGGATCCCAGGAAGGGATCAGAGGAAGTTTCTGCAGAGCAGCAGGAGCCCCTGACAGCTCATCCCTGCTGGAAAGCACGGAGCAGCAACTGGACAGGGAAATACCCGGGAGCCCGAGCCTTCCTCCATCCCAGCAGTGCTCCCTGCTCTTTTCCATGGATCCAGGCACTCCCACCACCTCCACGGAGCGACCCTGCCAGCGCTCACCTGCCCAAGGCAGGACGGACCTGCTTCCCCCTGCGCTTCCTCCCACCCCACCAGGATCCACCCGAGCGAGGGAGAGAGGGAGGGTGAGGAGATGGGGATGGCAAACAAAAGAAGCAGAGAGCAAAGCATGGAGTAAGGAATGCCAGGAGCACAGGAAGCCTGGGAGGGGAGGAGGAGCAGGGGAGGAGGAGGAGGATGGAGAACAAACACCTATTTTTCCCCAGCCCATTTCTCTGGGTGTTCCCGCTCGGGTCCAGCCCGGGGCGGCCCAGGAGCTGCCCTGGGTGTGCTCCAGCAGCCACAGAGCCCTCCTGCACGCAGCACCAGGGACCAAGGCTTTTCTTAAAGCAAATTCCCAAATGTGCTGTGGGGCCGAGCCTGGCGCAGCCTCAATGCAAACCCAACAGCGGCTTGCACCCTGCCAGAGCTGTGAATTACTCATTTCCCTGCATTCCTGACTCTCTCCCTTCCCTGAGCTTTAGCTGCCGCTCCCTTCCTGCCTGGAGAAGGGCCTGGGCACGGGGATTTGGCGCTAGGCTCCCATCTCCATCGGTTTCATCCACCTGAGGCAGGCACTGGCAGCAGAAACCT